CCCCCCCTAGGGGGCGGGCCCCACACTTTGGGAACGTCTGGCCTAAACTAATGCGCTCACCGTCAGACTTTCACTGTCAGTTAAAACTAAATTTTATACCACCGGGAGAAAGGCCATAACATCAACAAACTACTAATAATTCCCTTTCCTCCTAGCTTACGTCCAACCACAAACGTATTTTTCCGAATAAAAAAGATTTAAATTTCAAATGAACTCCGGATAATAACAACATCTGACTCACCAGACACTAAGCATTCCATCTTTCCTGCGAGTGTAGCAAAGGAATTTAGATTGGCTTCTTTTATCCAACACGGTACAATAGGAATTTACACTAACATCCATGTCTCCACTATGGTTCACAGAAGAACAATAAAAGAAAAACAAGCGTATGCCTCTTGCATGCCCCAAGAGTACACCGTTTCATAGCATGAGTGCCAGACACCTTTGACAAGCGCCACCTTCTGGCCTGGAATGGTTACTTCATTGGCTTGCAGACTGCGGGGACCTCTCTCCCTCTCGATGTAATCGGCATACCAATTGTTGAATGGAGGAGTAAAGCTCTATACTTCTGTTCCTGAATCCAGAGCACACACACTTGTACACCTGTGTTAGCAAAATAGCACTGGACCATGCCCTGTGGACATTAACTTTATTGAATAGAATACTTGCACCTAATTGCACTTCTTTCCCCCTAAAAAGAAAATCTAACAATTCCACTGCACATCTTACCTTCACGTGTTGCTTATTTACTATAATAATTCCATATGCATTTTCTTCATCTTATTGGGTTGAAACTTTCTTGATACCTTATATCTCACTCTGTTGCCATGTCACCATCACTAAGTGAAACATCATAAATAAACTATATGTTTTGAACTTTTTATTACATTATATCTACTAAGTTTGATCCCTTTCCTCTTCCATTGGCTAACATTCTTTCCCTTTTCCCTCAGTGAAATAGCAATGGGCCAGACACCCCATACTCCCACAGCACTTCCCACAGGACACCCCGAGGGACACAGTCGAATGCCTTCTCCAAGTCCACAAAACACATGTAGACTGATTGGGCAAACACCCATTCACCCTTAAGTCTTCTTGACAGGATAAACAGCTGGTCCAGTGTTCCACGACCAGGACAAAAACTGCATTGTTCCTCCTTTATCCGAGGTTTGACTAACAGACAAAATCTCCTTTCCAGCACCCTGGCATAGACTTTCCCAGGGAGGCTGAGGAGTGTGATCCCCCTGTAGTTAGAACACACCCTCCGGTCCCCCTTCTCTACTGCCCCTGATCTCCACACAACATTGTAGAGGTGTGTCAACCAGGACAGCCCTACAACATCCAGAGCCTTCAGGAACTCGGGGCGGACCTCATCCACACCAGGGGCTCTGCCATCAAGGAGTTGTTTAACTGCCTCAGTGACCTCACCCCCGGAAATTGGCGGGTCATCCCCGTCATCCCCAGACAAGGAGGGGGGGGAATAGAATAGAATAATCCTTTAATTGTTCCACACGGGGAAATTTGGTTGTGACAGCAGCCAGAAAGACACATATACAAACAAACAGTACACAGGACAGAGAACAGAAACATACACTTTTTTTTTTGATGATGAGCCCAACCATTGGAATACTTAAGGATGATGTTGGTTGAGTGGGATGATGTAGAGTCATATGTGAACAGGGCATAAAATAGGGGGCTGAGAACGCAGCTCTGTGGAGACCTGTTGCTGAGTGAGAGTGGGGTGGAGAGTTGGGGGCCAAGTCAGACTGATTGAGACCAGTTGGTGAGGAAAAGGTGGGATTGGTGGCATCAGTCAGGGAGGGGTTGAACATGAATTTACGATTTCATGTGTGCTTTTGGTGAGTAAAGCCACATGAGTCTCTGAGCCATGTATTCCCTTTTGTAGGCTTAAGTGGTTGATCTAAATTGGAGACCAACTATGCTTTCTCTTTCTCTTTAGTGATGAACTATCTGCACTGGCACTAAAAAGCCGGTGCAGATGTATCGATTTGAAGACTAGGGTTAAGATCAACTTTCACCAAATAACTAGGACTGGGGAGCATAAACTCTGTGGCTGGTTCATCATCATTATATTTGTCTTGTGGGTTCGTGGCCTTACTGGGCACATGGCTGAACTAGTCTTGTGGCGTAATATGTGTTTAACTGGTAAATGTATGTATACTATACCTGCTACCATCCACTTTTACCTCTCATCCCTCCTTAATTTGGAGTTTTAAGAATAGGAAAATTGGATTTGGTAGAGGGGTGGGTGTCTGCTCGTTTGTGGGCCAGGTTGTGTGGTGGCTTTTTAATGTTGCCTTCTGTTATGGCTTTTTTGTTTTCTCTTTTCAGAATCATTTGCAATGTCAACGTGTAACTTTGATTTTTAAGGAGGGGGTGTTACAACCCAGCCACACTCATTGAAGCCACAGCCTGCTGTTTGACTAGCATGGGAGGATTGTCAGTTAATGCAGGTAACCTGTGACTTGGATACTATCAAAGCTGGCCCGGGTGAGCTGCTCAGTCGCTCTTCCACTTCACCTGACATCAACCTATTGGTGATCTTTGTGTCTTGTTAGGTCAACATTAACAAATTATTTTATATTATGTAAGCTTCTTGTGTCAACTCACTTCTTGTCATCTGCTTCCCACATAGCAAAATTGGTATGGCTTGGATCTGGCCCACACAATGTGCTTACACATG